CGGAGAATATTTTTGCCTTTGATATGGGGTATATTTGTTTACAAAAGCTTAGGAATTATTTTTCTTTCTTACTGGTGACTTTTTCTTCCCCTTTAAATCCCAGTTAAAACTTCTTTGCAGCTCGCTGCCATTCCCTTTATATCCTCGTGTGCTGTGAAAATCATAAATTACGCTAGTCTTTCAGAGAGCAGCGGTAGGCTGTTTTGTGGTTGCAAAAGCTAATTACTGGGTTATTGTTTCTAACGGTGCTAATCCAAACTTCATTTTCCTGTTAATTGTCCCTCGAGCCAGGCTAGATTGTTTTTATCATCCTGACTGTTCGCAGCGCAAGCAGCTGCGAGGTGTAACCAATGCTGCCGTGACATTTGGAGTGGTGGTGAACCCAAAAAATGTGGTTGCGAAATGAAATGACACACTTCTGGTGCTCACTCCCAGTCATTTGGCTGGAGAAATTAGATTGGCATACTCCTGTTAAATGCCCCTCTGATTAAAAATAAGCAAAGGACAGTTTGCGATGATATTGCTGAGCTGCTGTGCTGGTGTGCGGGGCGTCGGGGAGGGAGGCTGGTGCTGGTGCTCGGTGTTCGGAGCTCGCTGTGTCCCTGGGCTCTTGGGGGCGGTTGATGGAGAGGGGAAGTAGCAGCAGGCTGCTGGCTTTGGGCTGCGGGGCTTTCTGGGTGCACCGAGGTTTCGGGGGAGCACACAGCCCAATTAGGCTGAAACCCTCTATCAAGGCTCAGGCTTAAGCCTCCCTGGGAAGCTCTGAAGGCTTTGTCCCCGCAGGGCAGTGATGGGGCTGGGTGCTGGGCACACATATCCTGCGCTGTCCTCAGCCCCAGCCCCGCTCCGACAGCAGCACCTCGGTGTGCGAGTGGCTGCTTGACGAATTCAATGATGGGAAGTTTCCTGATTCCTTTTCTTTCTTTTTTTGTCTTAATATCAGGGCCCAGGAACCCTACGGGGCACCCCTGGGCTCTCCGTTGTGCTCTCAGTAGTGTGTTTGCACCGTCACGTGCCTGCGGGAGTCTGTGTGTGTGTGTGGGAGTGTGTGTGTGGATGGTGTGCAGGGGTGTGCGGGGGACAGGGGTGTGTGTGGAGGTTGATCCTCGTCGCAGCTCTCACTGGGGTGCTTCTCTCCCAGAGGACTTGCTGCCCCAGCAGCACTGAAGAGGAGACGGAGGGAATCGCTGGCCCTGTTGTGGCTGTGCCCGAGTTTTGGGATGTCCGGAGAGCGGGTCTCTTCAACAGCTCTCTTGCTCTTGCTCCCGCTTGCCTGTTTTCCTTGTTTCCCTTGCGCAGCGGTGTCCGGGCTGTGCACACACGCCTCCCCGCTCCAGCTGTCCCCGGTCCCTCTCTGCCCTTCTCCCGCTGCCTCCTGCAAGGACCCAAACACTTCTTGGCAGAAAAGTAGCAAAAGATGAACTCCAGAAGAATTTTGCTCCAAACTTCGCTGGGCTGGGGCAGCGGGAGGCGTTGCAAGCAAGCAAAGTAAATACGGTCTGTGGAGGTTTGCAGCAGAAAGGGGAGGAGTAGGTGGTTTTGTTTAAAATACTCCCATTACAGTCAGTTAACCTTTATGTTACCTAAATGAAAATTGTATAAACCTGAAATTTTCGCTGATCGGGTTGCCTAGGAACAGGCTGTTGGTTTTCATAAGACAATGAACACACAGTCACTGATCAGGCTATTAGGCACCGAGACGTTTAGCCATATTATCCTACATCCCCGGGTTTGCCTGGGTAGTTGCACGCTTGTGTGTGGGGCGCACACCCACCTTTGCCTGCTTGTGCAAGTGATGGAGGTGATGCGGGAGACATGACCCTGTTTGGAGCCGACCCTCCTAGTCCTCCACGACAAGCAGCCTTGTTCCCGAGCCCCTGCCCGCAGGCTGGCGGTGCCACGGCCAGGACGGGAGGGCTGAGGGCAGAGGGGCTGCACGTGGCTGTGCCACGTCTGCCGGGAGCACGGCCCCGGCTTGCGGCACCCCTGCTCCCACTCTGGTCTGGCCAGGCAAGGGCCGGGGGGGAGCGTAAATGTGCAAAGAGGATCGAGGAACTGGTTGAAGAACAAAGTTAGAGGCATAAAGCTTAAACCTCTGGATTCAGCCTGAGACCCTTACCCTTAAACCAGTGATTCTCATCGTGCAAACTGTACAGGTGGGGCAGACGGTAGCTTGGGGCTTCCCTGCACCCCGTGCAGGGCTGCACTGCATGTCTGCCCATTTTCCTGTTGCTCAGGGCATGGACTAAGGTGTAGAGCCATAGAAATGGGTTGGGATAACTGGTTAGCTCCAAACCAGCTCACTGGCACAGCCGTAGCACCAGTGCCGAGGGGAGCGCGGGGGCAGTCTGCTGGGAGAGGCGCGTCGGCAGTGCTGGAGAACATGGAAAAGTGCTTTATTTCTCCCTTTTCCCATCCAAAAAGAGGCTGAGAACCAGCACCCGGTGTTGTGGCTGGCGGTCCTGGGGGTCCTGCTGCCAGCTGGGCTGGGTCGCCGCCTCTCACAAGGCGTTGGCGGAGACTCGCAACGTGGTTCAGGTGGCATTAAGCAACTGCAAAAGGCAGCAGGGGTAACTGGAAGTGAAAGAATGCAGATCGTTTATTAATAGGGTTTACAGAAATTTTCTGCTGGGTAGAAATATTGATTCTTTATTCCTATTTTAAAAGGAGCTTTTTGTAATGATCACCAAGAGTCATTTTCTGTTATCGATTGCAATAGACCTGTGCTGGAGACCTCCCTCCATTCATTCCACGCCCGCGAGTATCATTGAGAGTGAACGCAGCACAGGTTTTCCTTTCAGGAACACGGCAACTTCTTAAATCAGCATTTCTGTCATTTTTACAGTGGGGTTTTGCTATGTGTGTTTAAAGAGACATACACATTTGCTCTTCTAAATCCGTTTACGCTATTCTTAAAGTTCACCTTTGAGGGGGAGGTGGTGTGGGGAGGCAAATGCTAAAAATAAAACTCCCCCCTTAAGTAGATCAGTTCTGCATTTGACATTTACATGGAATTCATTTGCATCTCATTTGTACATGTTTCTGCTCAATAGGTAGAATGTAAGAAAGCACAACCTAAAGAAGTGATGTTTCCACCAGGGACGAGAGGAAGGGCACGTGGATTACCGTATACCATGGACGCTTTTATGCTAGGGATGGGAATGTTGGGTAAGTGCCGTAGCCACCACACGTCTCCCGGAGCCAGCGGCTCCCGTGTTGTCTCCCTGGTTTCTGAACACGTAAGGCGTAGGGGTGAGCAAATCCCTGCACCTGTGTGGGTGCGAGTCTAAAACTTCAGCAGGGGTGGAGTGGGGAAGATAAGCCTGTCTGTGGTAAATTATTAACTCCCCCCCGCTTCCCGGAATATAAAAATGTGCATTTAAATGGATGTTTTAAATAGCCTGTTTTACTCTTACTCGCAAAAATAGAATGATGAAAGATGCAGTGTGTTCATTCTGACTAAAAATGATCTCTCCCCTTTTTTAGAGGAATTGAATCACACATTATTCCCCTTCTTTTAAAGGTATCTTTGACAGTTCAGCATAGATAATTGAAAATCTTGCCGGTTCTTAAACGGCATGCAAGGTGGAGAAAGCAGGGAGATGCGTAACAGTATAGGTTGCAACAATAATTACAAGTTTCAAGGAGATGGAATGGTATTTTAGTCCAGAGTATTGTGTCCAGAAAATACTAATTAAATGGGATAAATGATATTTAATGGCAAAATTCTATTTGTGCATGAGGTCCATTTAGTTATAATTGGTTTTCATTTGTTTCTGCCTAGATAGTTCTTCTTTCTGCATAATGTGACAACTTCTTGATACTCTGTCCTCAGATTTACTAAGCCAAAATGCTGCTAATCCACTGCCAACGTATTTTTGTAAAACCCCATATATTTTCAACTTTCTGCTCCCTTTGTATCACCGGACTTTCCCTCAGTTGTCACCTGCTGTGTCCATAAAGCATGCATGAACGAGAGGGCATCTGGAGGTGTTCCCAGGCAGAAATGAGCCTTTCCCTGTCCCTGGTACGTGGCCCCTCCAGGATGCTTTGAATTTTCTGTCCCAGGTTTAGATGATCCCAGAAGCTGAGCACAAAAACCAGCCTTGAAAGCTGGTGCTTGGTTGTCCTGAGCTCTGCCAAGCAGGTACATGGGCTGCCTGAGATGCCGGAGGACCCCAAGGCTTCTGGAGTGGGCGTCAGGTCAGAGGACTCGGTTCCTATGAGTATCAGGCTGTTATGCTGAGATGTCTGACTTCAGGCACCGCTTGATTTGATAGGGAAAACTTTCCTGCCATGTTTGCTTTGTCTCTGAATTAATAGTGTTTCTGTTTGTGTGGCTAGAGCGATCCATTTCTGGGATGTGTAATTCAGTTATTTCAGCTGATCATCTATTTTTCTGTCCCCACAGTCCACCGCCACCCTGCCCCATAGTGTTTAGAAATTGCATTTTATGGTTAAAATATTTATCTTCTTCTAGTCAGTCTGTGATTTTTATACCTGTATGTTCCCAGTGTGCTTGAGCATGTGTACTTTATTTCTGTTCTCTTTCTTTTCCACTTGTGGTGCCTGAGGTTTGGGATGGTGGAGGTGGTGCATGCCACCTTGCTGGCCAGTCCTGCCTGGCTGCTGGAGGAGAGAGCCCAGGTCACCCTGGGTAGGCAAAAAGACCCAGGGCAGCATCCCTCTCCTGCTCACCACGGGCAGAGTTGCCTCAACCCTTCTCCTCGCAGCCGGGCAAGGAGTGAATCGAGCCAGGGTCTGCCCCAGTGACCTAAAGGGAAAATTCAGCCCTCAGGTGTCGCATGAGTCATTCCCACCGGGGCCCGGGGCTGCCTCTCTGGAAAAAGATCGTTTCAAGCCGTAAGAAGTAAGGGAAGAAGCCCTCAGCGAGTGGATCTGCGTCTGCGCAGAGCGAGCGATGCAGGTGCCTGTTGGCAAATCCCCATCCTGCTGCGGTGGGGTGGGTCGGGTCACCCCGACCGGCTCTGCTCTGGCTGGTCTCGCAACATGCTCTTATTAGATTTCAAATCAGAGTGACTTGCTCAGAATTAATGATTGATTCGTGTTGAAGGCCAGATGCTTCATTATCTGCTCTAGCTGTTTTTTTCATCTTCCAAGTTACTGCTTGCTACAGTGGCACGGTGTTAAATAATTAAGTGCTAAACAAGGAAATTGCAACACATGAGAGCAAGGCTGTCTGGATGGCCATTATAAATCCCCATTTTCAAAGGCTGCCTGTAAGAGTTGGCTTCAAGGGGGCTGATGGGCAGCGGCTCAGCGGGGAGCCCGCATCTCTCCTTCCCAAGCCCCAGCAGCTGCGCGGCGGTGGGGCCCCGTCCCCGCAGGGAGAGGGGCATAATTAACCCATCAAACGACGAGGCGCACAAAGTAACGTACCGCCAGAGGCGGCATCTGCAGTAGCCAAGCGTTTTGCTGAGATCCCAGGAGGCTGGTGTCAGCCCTACCCCGTTCCTCCTTTTAGATGCCTAGCCGGACTGAAACAGAGCAATTGGGGCTGCTCTTGGAGGATTTTTATACCTGTTTCCAGAAGCCCTTGTTCAAGGTCACCTTCTCCAGATGCCATTCATAGGCAGAGGAGGGAATCAGAGGAACGAACGCATGAGACAACCCAAAGGAAAGAGCGGAGAGCAACTCCCTCCAAAGCTATTAAGGAAGTTGGTCTTTTTCATTAATCACAGCCTCCCCAAGGAGCCTGCAGCAGCCGGGGTCTAAAGGTGCGTAGGCAGCCGCTTCTGTGATGATTTGGTTGATTGGAACAAAATTAAAGTGTTCTTCTGAAAGGATTTTTTGACTCCGAGAGCGCGGGCAGGCTGAGCCTTTTGCCAGGACTGCTTCTGAGCTGTCTCGGGCTGGTCTGCTGGTGGGACACGCGCAGTCTCGGGGGAGATCAGGAACATTAATTAGCCACTCTGCATAAGGAGTGAGCTGGAGTGGTTTCAGTTGCAGTGATCTTTCTCTCCCTGGCAGCCCACCCATCAGGAGGAGCTGCTCCCCAGCCCCATGGATGCTCGTGAACAGGCACCGTGTCCCCCCTAGCAGGCAACGCACACATCTCCAGCTGAGAGGGGGCGGTTCAGTGGCTGAGAAGCTTGCCATGCGCCCAGAAGCCTCACCTCCATCACCTGGTCCTGGTGTGCAAACCAGGAGCCCCGTCACCCAAGGGTGTGTGGGTGTCACTGCATTGCCCCACGGCTTTTTGCCCTCCATTCAGGTCTGTACCTGAAAACTTGAAAAAAAAGAGAGAAAAGAAGAAAGCAACCGAGGAGCAACATTAACAGCAGGTCGTCTCTGTCTGCCCTCCCATCTGAAGCAGCTCTGTGCATCTGGGACGTCGCAGCTGCCGTTGCGGTGGTCCCGGCAGTGACGCCCAGCTCTGGAGGTGACTGCCTCTCCGCTTGATCTGAGCTGGGGCCCCACAGCACTCATTTCTTCTGGCGACGGGCATCTTAGACTTGCTGGTGTTCAATATTAAAGTTGGGCTCTTTTTAACTTGCAATCCCCTCCAGAGAGAGGAGCGCTCGGCCCATAAAGCTTATACCCCCAGATTGCCAAAATGATGTCTGATACGAACACCAGATTTCAGAAAGTCTCTAACAGGCTGCTTATATCAGTGCACAAGGCAGAGCAGGGCTCTGCATTACTGCACACGTTTAATCTAGGTAGGCTGAACTCATGCATAAAAGAAGCTTGTGCCCTTCAAAGAAAGTCATTCCTTTTTTCCATCAGACTCCATTTAATAGAGTAGCAGCTGCCTCTGAGGCAGGATTCAGGAAGGGGAGCCCTTCGTTAGCACAGTCTTCCCGGGAGGCTGGCACAACTTACCAGAACCCCCCTGGGCTCCTACAGCAGCACCCGCTGTAGCCATCACTGACGAACGCGGCTGCGGCCAGCTTTGCCTTAGCTCTTTAATTCCCTTGAAGAAGGAGATAGGTCAACTTTGTTGGACCAAGGGAGAAACTTCTACAGCAGATGTGTTTCTTCTCCATAGCTGCTCCCTAGTATGTGACCACCCCCTGTGTCTGTAGGAGGTGATTTTTGGTTCGCATTCCCTGGTGCCACAAGTGCTTACGTCAAGGTCACAGCATGTTTCTTTTGAGAAAGATCCTGAGCATTTTTGTTGCAGCATGGGGCTATGCTTTGGCAGAAGGAACGTGCCTTTCCTTGCAAAGGACCTGGTATTCCTTGCTCTGAACAACATTGGGAGACAATAATTTTCTTGCATTTACTGGAACATTTGAATTAATTTTGAAAGCAGGGGTCCCCAGACCCCAGTGTGCCCAGTGTTCCCACATATTAACCATGAGCTTTGTCCATCTTGGATCACCAAATTTAAAAATGAAAAGACATTTCCATAGCCTGGTTCAGTGGTTGTGGACACTTCCCCGCTTGGAGCAGAGAAGCCGTTTCTCCCTCTGGAGGTGCTGGTGGGACGGAGGGGAGTCGGGAGGCTGGCTCACGTCTCCTCCCTTTCCAGTGACCTTGTTCGTGCGCCATGGCAAGCTGCTCAGTTTCCAGGGCCACACTTCCCCTGTGCAGAATGGAAGGCAGGGCAGTTTGCCCAGATTTTGTAAAATGCCTGCAATGCTCAGGCTTTACCATGGGCCCACCAGGATGGGCTTATCACCAGGAACGCTGTCATGCCCTCAGGTACACTGTAAGTAAAAAGGTCAGTGTTACCTGTTTGCAGTTGTTTTCATCCTGGAAGCAGAGCCTTTGCTTTCCCCTGGAAGACCGTCCCTGCACTGAGCAGTTGCTTGCACGCTGTGGTGGTAAGGGACTCCGTGGCCGCATCGGGTGTTGCCTCCACCAAGAGTGTGACAGCCAGCTGAGTGTGACCGTCGGGTGGGCAGCGTTGTGCTTCCAGCAGCCATTGCTCTCACCTTGCGTGCCAGGCCTGCCCAGAGAGCGCCTAGCGCAGGGCAGGATCTGGTCCGCTGTGAGATGGGGCTCTGCAAGACTCCAGCACATGGGCTGGAAGTTCAACCAGCCTGCAGGGTGGGTGCATCGGACCTGCTGTCATTGATGTCAGACAGGGGCTGGGTGGAAGTGGTGGCGTGAAAGCAGTTTTGGTTGTTGGTTTTGAGTTGTGCTCCCACAGACAGGAGGGTCTCGCTTCGGAGGAGGTAATCCAGGCAAAACTTGGATTTCTGGTTTAGCAACAAGGGATAATTAAAGAGATTGATCATTCCCCAGGACTACTGAAGCAAATAAACTGTTCAGTGCCCAATGCAGGATAAGAATGGCATCTAATGGAAATGGTGGGTAGGTCAGCATGGCCATAATTTGGCTTGATGAAGCATCCACATGGGCACGGTGTTAATGCGCTGTTGATATTCAGCCAGGCAATTTCCCCTGTGCGGATCGGGCTTTGACTCGTTAGAGCAGAGCTGGGCACTGCAGCAGTAAATGAAGAGGAAAATTGAAGTAATGTTGTATTATAAATTTATTATTTCATCTGCCTGACCTAGAGAGTGTTGAGTGCTGGTGATGCAGGCGAGAGCCCCCCAGGCAGCTCCGCCAGTGCCGCTGCCGTCAGGCACAGCCAGGTTTGGCCGGGGAGGACCGGGCTGCTGCTGCACGCTGCCCTGGGTTTGGAGGCAAATCCACCGGGGCAGGAGCATCCTCATCCCCGCAGAGCATCCCAGGGTGGGGCAGCAGAATAGATGGCATCCTGCACTGCGATGCTCACTCCAAAAACACCACGGGTGCGCAGGCAGCTGCCATCCACTGCCGTGTTGGTCCGGCCGGGGCCATGGGGACTGCACCTGCAGCCTCCGCTCCCCAGGGCAAACCTCAGGCGCTGCCCGGCATGCCGGTCCCTTGCAGCCCCGACAGTCGTGAGCTGACAGGTCTGCTTCAGAGTCGTTCGAGTTGGAATAAAACTTAATTTTTTCCACTTGGCAAGGAGAGGGGCTGCGGTCGGATGCCACAGAGTGATTTTTCATGGTGGAGCTTGCAGTGGTGTTAATGGCGCTACTTACTTAGCAAACAATCCATTTATCAATATTGTTGTTTTTAAAAAAAAGGAAAAAGGGTTTGTAAAGCTTAACTCTGAAAGATCTGATTTAATGACAGAGGTGATTAATTTTTAAGGGAATCCAGCTGTTGAGCTGTGAAATAAATACACAAGGGCTAAGCGGTGTGTACATATCGCTGAAAGCTGCAGCGTGCTGTCCTGGGATTGCAGGGCTGCTTTCCCCTGGCACTGCTTAATCCCATAATCAAAATTCATCCAAGCATTTTTATCTTCCAGTTTTAGATTATGATTAATAGTACATATATAAATCTAATCAGAAATGGAGGGACTTGCTGCAGCAAAAAAATAGCTGTACAATGTATGAGTATATTAAAGAATAAATAAAAGGAGACCCCCAGAAGAACCATTCAGCTGTTAAACCTGTTCTCAGGGTCCAGCCCAGCTGCTGCTGTTGTCACTGCCGAGATTTCCACTGACTTCAGACGGAGTGAGAGCAAATTTTCCGTGATGGTTTCTTGGTCTGGAGAGGTCTTTCCTGGAGACTGGAGGACTCGGGGTGGACTGGCTGACACTGACAGTCAGCGGGAACGTTACGCAGCATTTATTGCACGGGAATTGCAAAGGGTAGTTCCTGTTTTTAAGAAAACCAAGCAAGGGAATGCTGAGGATCAGAAGTGAGGTTGCAATTTTAGGACATCTATACAGGACAGCTTGTGGCATCGGCCATACCGGTTGCAGCAAACAGCTGCGGTGGGACCAGAGAGGACAACTGTTTTGCATAAGGGCTGGGAAGTTAAAACACGGGGGGGGTCACAGCGTGTGACCCCTTGGCTGGTGCCAGCCGACACACGTTTAGGGACTAGTGTGACCTCCAGTACCTACGCAAACCTTCCTGGGGAGCGAAACCTCTCTCCCCTGGCCTGGTTGTCAGAGTTAACCGCCTGCGATGCTGGCAAGGCATGCACTGTGCAACGTGGTGGAACCCTTGGCCGAGCACGCGCGGGGCTGACAGCCGAGCGGTGGTACCTCTGTCCATCAAACACCCGCAGGTGGACCTCCCGCGCCCCCCGCCCCCCGAGGGCTCTGCTCTCTTACCGACACTACCTTTCACTCCCAGCCGCTGTGTTAGAGCGGGCAGAGTTGCCACTTAATGCATTTACTTCAGCATCTTTATTAACAAAATGATCTGGAGTGGTACTTTTGTCATAATAAAACTTCAAAAGCTGCCTGAGGTCGGATGCGTTTCTGCGCGTACCTCAGACATTGCTTTAGGAAGCGGTTCTCATACCTGGGTTTTACTTTCCTGAAAAATTAAAAGCTCTTTGACTCTCTGGCTCATTGCTGTTGCTGCCTCTAACTCTTTGATGTGTTAACTGTTGTCCTTCACACTCCCGGGATAAAGAATTACTACTACCTTAATCTCCAACTGTCAATAGCTCTGAAGCAAAGTACATTCATTGTAAGCTCTCCAAATGTCAGAGCAAACCTGTGTTATGTGTTTAGCCTTAGCATTTGGCATTTACTCTTCCAGCTAACAAGTATGCACAGTCCTTGGACTTCAGATACCAAAGTGCATGTTAATTACCTGAGTGACAGGTCTCATGCACAAAGCCAGGCAGGCAAGCTCTAGATGTTTCTATCCAAGATAATAATGAAACCTTTCTGCAGTTTTGCATGAGCGGAATAAATCTTGTTTTTTAATACCTTCTGTAAAATCAGGTCTCACCCATCCTCCGTGTCATTTTGCATTGTATTTAAAAACAAAAAGCCTTTATTAATCTTCAAACTTCTCTTTCTCTCTCTCTCTCTTTTTTTTTTTTTACATTTCTGTGATCAAGGTTACCCAAATTTTGTTGCAACGTATGGCCGAGGATATCCTGGATTTGCTCCAAGTTACAGCTATCAGTTCCCAGGTACGTACATTTCATTTGCAGATTTACTTTTTTTCCCCCTCTTTCCTTCTTTATTTTTTTTCCTTTTTTTTAAATCCATAGCTGCAAGCTGAGACAGGCAAGTCTGCAGGGAGCATCTCACACAACAACAAATTTTTTTACTATTTTAAAACAGATATTTCTATATACATATTTTAAGTACATTTTTACTAACGTGTAAATTGGTACTGGTTATTTGAAAACAAACTTCTTAAATTAAAACATAAAGCAACAGAGATAATCTAAGAGCTATTACCCTCCCTTTGATGGGTTTTTTCTTTTATATATATTATAGATAGATACACAGACAGACACACACACGCACACAGAGACTCGCACACACGTTCCCATACTATCCTGCGGTAAGTGTGTACTCGTTACAAGTGCAGTCTTGGAGTAACAAGTCCAACCTTCCTGTGTTCTTTATCGATATTGCCGGTGTCCTTCAAAGGAATAGTTTCTAGCCGTGTGTTGATGGTTCGGTTTGGCTTCGGTTCGGTTTCCCCCTTTCCTCGGCGTGGCTGCCGCCTGCCGCGGCGGTGGGACCGGTGCTGCGGGGCACGGCGGGGATCGTGAAAAGCCCTTTCCCGTTCCAGCACGTCCCGCGGGTGGGGCTGAAACCGCACAGGACACAGTTTCCTTTCACCTTGGGGTTTCCCGGGCAGCTCGAACAAGCAACGCGACGCTGCTGTGTTTATGGCTTAGCTGAAGCCAACCCGGACGCTGCGGCGAGGAAACCCCGGTGTGCTCTGCGTTAAATTCGTGAGCGCGCTTGTTGCAGGGGTCACGCACGAGCAGTCCCACCACCCGGTGCCGCGGAGCCTCAGCAGCTTAGAAAGAGAACGGTAGGAGCACAGCTCTGCTCAGGGTAATTGAGAAACCGAGTGAGCACCGGCGGGTGCGGGGGGGACAGCAGCTCCGCAGGGGGGGAAAACCAAACACCCTCACGGGAAGGTCCCTTAGGATGGGTGAGGATGTGGAGGGATGCTCGGCTCTACCTGTGGCATGCTGGGGCAAAGATACAGCCTTGTGTTCGGCACTAGGTCATTAGGATGGAACCTTGCATTGGAAGCATACGTATTATTGACACCCATAAGACGAATAATGTCCTTGGGACGGTAGTTTCTGTGGAGCTGGTTTCTGCAGGACCGATAACACCAAGGGAAACAGTGCTATTAGGGGTTGTTTTCAATTGCTAAACTTCACAAATGCTAGAGCTCTACTTTAAACTCATCTGCCTCTTTCCCACCTGTGCTACCCCCCTCCCAAACCAAGCCAGGTCCGAAACAACCAGGGTGTCAGGGCTGGCAGCGGGGCTGCCGGGGCGGCGTGCCGGGCA